AGACTGACGCACGGACGGACACACGAACGGATGGACAGACAGACTCAGGAACTCAAGGATGGTCGGGAACATGTATGATCTATGTACTAAATTTGAATGAAAACTGACAAAGCATGTCCAAAATGTGACATTTTCAAAAAACAAGATGGCTGCCAGCCGGCCATCTTTAAACCAATTGTGAAATAAATCATCATGGGCATGTATCCTAACATGTATAATCAATGTACCAAGTTTGAATGAAAACTGACAAAGTATGTTCAAAATACAACATTTTCAAAAAACAAGATGGCTGCCAGTCGGCCATTTTGAATCGAATCTCTAAACCACTGCATGTGCATATGTCGCACATAAAGTACTAGACACATGCAAAGAATGAACAGAATCGGTCCAAGGGATTCTGAGATATGACTTTGGACGGACGCACGGACGTTCGAACGGGGACTAATAAAATCCCACAGCCAATAAGAAACTTGGATTCACGCCTTCGGGGAAAGTCCCATTTAGATGCTCACATCAACGGTAAATTCGAAACGAATTTCTGTCTGTGTCATTGTAGGTCAGTAGTCACTGAAATGCGGACTGTAGTACGAAAAATTAAAGAAGTGAACAGTGTTTTAACACTGTGGAAAGCAAAAAAAACTTGTGCTTCTGTACAAGAGCATGCGATCAGTAACAGGTTTACCTTTTTTTGCACGGAATATTACGCTGAATAACCAGGCCATATTTTTTTGTTTGTTTTGGGTGAAACCAAAACGTGCCGAAATTTTTGAATAAAAATAAGTAATTTTTAGTGAAGTCGAAAATTTGGAGGTCAATACAAATACTGAAACCCGGCAAACAACCAGACAGGCGAGTATTTGAGTATTCAGGCAGCAAATCTTGACACGTGCCTAGTTTTGGTTAATATCAGGGCCTGATATCAAGTTTTTTTCTAAACATGGTGACTCTGTCCCAACCGTTCAAGATCTCTAACTTGAACATCACTATAGTAATTTGTACAAGTACATGTACTTAGGGGCACACAGCAGTTACTTTGCAAGATGTAATTAAACTCAAAGATTACAGACAGATATATCAGTGCTGCTGTATTCAATGATAATTTAGCATAAATACAAGTAAAAAAAGTAATTCTCACCTTCTAGGACAGCAACACATCCACCAATATTTATCATCATCCATTTTAAATATACCAGATTCTGGTTCATCAGCACATTCAGACATGAATTTCAACACCTCACTTTTAGGACCACCATGTCTCTGATATTCCTATGAGATGATTACAAAGTTAGTGAGTCTACATAAACCTAAACCAGTACATAACAATAAGACAGACTATTAATGCTACTTCAACTTGACTCCAAATGTTGATTTCTCAATTAAAATATGATGTACAATATATTCTATTTACATCTTGCATGTTTTGTGATGTACATGACTAGTGTTGTGTACAAATTTAGAAGCATGTAAGTAAATTTAACTTAAAACATTTTGTCTGATGTAGTCCACCCACATGGTTATTTTCTACATAATTGATGCATTACTTATACATTGACCGTCACATCTTTATATGACTGTACATAAATTCAGTTGAGTCAAAGCAGAATTTGATATGTTGAGAAAAAACTGTCAACAAAGAATCTTTTCTCTGATTGGTCTGACTCTAAGGTGTTCAGTAGTCAATCAGACACAATCTTGTAAGTAGCTTTGCACTGACTCTATAACTTACCTTAACAGTTTCATAAGTATCCATGATAACTGAGATAAACAAGCTGAGTACAACGTAGATAAACAAACTAATAAATGTATAGAGAAAAAGTCGACTATATATCCATACTATAGTACTTTTATTGGACATCTCAGCAAAGGTGGCAAACATGTCATCTCCATTCACTAAAGAGAACATGCATTCTGATGCAGTGTTCAGGTCTTTGAACTGTCAACAAAAGAAAAGACATAATACAAGAATACAGTGGGGCAAGTGTTAGGATATCGTGACATAGACAGTTATCCTGACATGCTGTCTTGAATTTGATCATCAAACAAAATTAGATAATGTTTGAATATGACCAGTCAGGGTATATCAGAGATATGGCTCTGGAACAGAATCTGTTAAAGCAAACAAAGCCTCATAATGTCCAATGATTGTATCAAGTTAAAACAAAATCCATCCATACATGACCGAGACTAAATTTTGATGAAAGTTTAGCACAAAAATTACCACCGCTTGAATGGGATCATGAAACAAATGAAGGTGTCCAATGTCCAATGAATATATCGGTGAAGATATAGGATGTACCGGTATTGATTGAATGTGATCGAACCAGGCATGTAATAGTGCATGAGATTAAAGCTTCTGATTCCACTGGAATATTTCTAAAATATTTAGTATTTATAACTACCTTTGGATGATATGGTCCTAGTACAATCCATCCACAGAAACCATAACCCATAAATAACACTATAACACAGACCATGAATCTAATAACACTCGGTGCAGCTGTCTTCATTGTAAGTATCAAAATCTACATATACAACACTAATTGGTTATACATTGGTTATGTGTTGGTGACTACTTTTTAAGCAGTCTCAAGGCACATGATGTATTCTTGTGAGGAAAAGATGTATAATAAGGTTATTACGAGGATACTGCAAAGTATGCACAAACACGTACGCCGTCGCATCGACCTACGGTGTGTGTCAGTTGATACACCTACTGTCTTTGTGGATACTTTTTGGTATCCTCGTTATACTGAATGTAACCATGACTTACATTATATTTTGGGAAGAAACCAAGGTAATGCAAGACACCAAACCAGACAAGTAGTGATCCAGTACCCAGTAATATACTACATAAATCATAATTACTGGCAATCTAATATGACGACAAATAAAGATAATAAAGTAAGGATGTAATTATTCAAATATTTAACTAATGTCTTGTATCATACAATGCAAACAGATAATCCATTAACCTTGTCACCATCAGACATTCTCACCCCAAATCTTTCTGTACTTTATTCTTATACTCTTCAATATTTCTATAAATGAACCCTAATTTTGGAGCCAACAAACAAAATTTGAGACAATTTTCAGTTGAAGGAAAGTGGAGACTGAACTATTTTGTGAATCTCTAAGGAACTAGTGGTGAAAGGGTTAATGATACTATAAATGCTAATCAAATATGAACAATAACACAATAAAGTAAAAATTGTGGTCATACATAGAAAACTCACAGGGATCGACCGTGTCAAGAAAGGTGGAACCAAGTCAAAGGTTGCACATCATGATAATGTTCACTATTTGTGGATGGGTAAAGTAAGAAGAAACGATGAGAAAATTTGTTTTCAAAGTTGACCAAGAGGTGGATTGAACAGAAAATGTGTGAAATTATTTGACAATTATGACATCGATAAATTTGTGATGTTTTCATACAGAAAACTATAAATAAATACATGTGTGTATATATGTTTTTCAATGCATGAACCCCCCCCCCTCCTTCAAGAGGCAAGTCACACAACCCCTGATAAGTCGTGCTTTTTGCTTGAATCCCAACACCCACAACTCAGCGAGGGGTATTACTATGCTGAAATTAACAATGTTGTAACACACATTTTTAAATCAGATCAACATCATTAAGTATTGGTACTGAATACAAATGAAAGCTTGGGGTGTACTGCAGCGGCCATTTCCAGTTAGGAAAACAAATATACATTGCAAAGTGATTAAAAAGTACAAATGTTAACATCTTACCCTAGATTCAAGTTGTAGTTTCCACACTGATCCAAATATTACAAGGATGTCACTAACAACAATCAGAACATACCAAAAATTGATGAATCTTAATTTGTCATGTCGCTTTAATTCCTTGTTGAAATAATTACGGAAGAATCTGATGGTCAACTACAAATGAGAAAAACATTGAGTCAGTCAAACCATACCAATTGAGCACAAAAACCCTGTATTCTCTTGTTTATGCCAAGCTCTTTCAGTAGTGCATACATGTGTTAATGAGAATTTCAAAGTAAATTTGTTTTTTCGATAAAATCCATTCAGTAAGTAGAAGTGATCACATGTTTTTGAACTTGAAATATATCTAGCATTAGAAAAAACAATTCATTGATTAGAACAATTGTATTTGGCAAAATTAACAATCAAGAACACAAAATTATGTCTTGTCTTTGTACCAATATTGAGCAAAATCTGTCAAAAGGCATGTCAGAGAAATGGCCACAGATACATGAAAATAAGATCAACATTGTGTCCAGTTTGCTATTGTGTATCACATCCAAAGGCAAAGCATCATGGGACTGTTCATACAGAATTTACCGGGAACTAAATTTTGGCACAGGCATGCCTGAGAAATGCCTGCCATTCAGTTAAATTTCATCAAAAGTTCAAAACAGCTGATGACAATATTCATACCATTATGCAAAAAATAAAAAAAATTAGAGTCAAAGTTAATTTTTAGCACATAAATGAATACATACAAACAACTGACATTTTTGCATCCACTGCAATTGTCAGAGAACTAAACTCTGAAATTAACAAGTTTTAAGCAGTATTTTGAAAAGCAGATAAAATTGTCCTTTACTCTGTATATGATACTCATGTCCTTATGACAGACATGACAGACACTGCAGCTGTTTTATTTGTGTGCATGTAAGATTAATAGTTTCATAATTTAGCAACACCTCAAGGGAAGAATGCAACAGGTCAAAGGGAAGAATGCAACAGGTCAAAGGGCAGAATGCAACAGGTCAAATGCCACAATGCAACAGGTCAAAGGGCACAATGCAATAGGTCAAAGGGCACAATGCAACAGGTCAAAGTGTAACAGGTTAAAAGCTGGAATATAACAGGCCAATAGGCAGAATGCCATGTCAGTGTAATTTTTGCTTGTATGCTACAAGCCATTAGGCAACAAGTTTTATTCTTGTGTCATGAAGTAATTTTATTTTATTATTACAGATCTGTAAAAGTTTGGGAAAATTAAACCCAGTTAGATCATGGTCATAAAGTCCCATTAGGCGCAATGACTAGTTTTATCATTACCTTACAAGACTAGTTTGCTATGAATATAACCCTATTGTTTTTACTTGAGGCTGGTACTAGAAAGTCTAGGAATGGACAAGTATGCATAGTGAACTGTGCACATAAAAAGTCTGTCTCTACACAAAGAGGAACCAGATAACAGCATTGAGAAAAGATGGACACTTTGTGTCGTCTTTGAGAGGTGATGTGACGGTGTTTGGAATTCATTGTGTCAGAGTGACCATTAGTCTGTCAACCAAACTGGTGACATCATAAAAAGGCAAACAAGATGATTTTGTAAACTTTGGGTTATTGACAACAATTATCCATGTATGACAAAAAAGATGGTAGTGCCAATCGAGTGAGCTTTTCGAAACCGAACTGATTACATGATACGATAAAATATCATGAGTAATTATAAAACAGAAAGAGTGCCTATAACTTTATGACTGGAAACAAGATATTGAGATATCCCGATAGATGCTATTGTTGGTTAGTTTGACGGTTCCAGGGTATAGTACCATAATTAAATTTAAAAGTGAGTTTCTTTCAAATAAGAAATGTCAAAGTACAGACACTAACACCAAGGCCAACCAGAACTTACATTTCGTAGTCTCCAAGCTTTTATTATTGAGCGCAGACACAGTAAAGCTGAAATGCT